TTTTCAATAGTGAGAAGAACCGATGGCTTTTATCTGAGGACCTAGCTATGAACCGGCCCAAGGCGGCTATATGCTCGGTCATCCTCTGAACCACCTTGACGTTGTCCACAACGGTGATGTCTTCTATGGACTTGATCTTTTCAGGATTAATCTCGATCCCCCGATTGGATACTATGAATCCGAGGAACTTTCCCGATCCGACCTGAATGCGCACTTCCAGATTCAGCTTCATATTGAATTTTTTCAATATGTCGAAGGTTTCCTACAAATGTTTCAAATGGTCCTCTTCTCGCATAGACTTAACTAACATATCATCAATATAAACTTCCATTGAATTTCCTATCTATTCTTCGAACATCCGGTTTACTAGGCGTTGATAGGTGCCACCGGCTTTTTTTAATCCGAATGACATTACATTATAACAGTAGGTGCTGAATTTAGTGATAACAAAAGTCTTTTCTTAGTTGCCCAGGTCCATACGAATTTGGTTGTACCCGGAATAGGCATCGAGAAAGCTAAGTATCTCGTGCCCGGCCGCCACGTCGATCATCCGATCGACGTTAGGAAAAGGAAAAGAATCCTTAGGGCATGCCTTATTCAAGTCTTTATAATTTACACACAGTCTTATCTTATTTCATTTTTAGGTACTACCACAACTTTAGCTAGCCAGTCCAAGTACTTAACTTCCCGGATGGACCCTATTTTAAAGAGTTTAGATAACTCGTCCTTGATGAATGCATGCTTGACCTCGGACAGAGGTCTCCTCTCCTGTTTAACCGGATGGAATTTTTGGTCCAAACTCAACTTATGAGTGGTTATCTCCGGCGGGATCCCTGTCATATCAAGATGGGACCAGGCGAAACAAGATATGTTAGTTTTAAGAAAATTAATGAGTTCTTTCATGCGTTCAGGGGTTAATCCCATGCCCATGTATACTTTTCGATCCGGTAGGTGTTCAGTCAGTATGACTTTCTCCAGCTCTTTGACCGTTGATTTGGTGGCGCCGGTATCATTAGGATGTCGGAACTCCGTAATTATCTTCCTCGTCAGCTCCTCGATCCTCCGGTCCAACCGGGACCGACATCGGTGGTTGCTAGTTGACTTCGGCCTTTCTAGTCGGCTCTGTGTTCCTTAATGTCGGGACGGCAGATAATGGGAGTACTTCATCAACTGCGAACATCTCCTTTGTCGCCGACTGTTATCCGTATACTGTCTTGATTCCTCCAGGAGTAGGGAATTTTAACGAATGGTGTAAGGTCGAAGGTACTGCTCTCATGTTGTGAACCCATGGTCTTCCGAATAGAGCATTATATCTCATGTCCCCTTCAATCACATAGAACTTTGTTTCCTAGATGATCCCAGCGGTGTTCATGGGTAGGGTTATCTCCCCTTTAGTGGTTTCGCACATGGGCGGCTCAATAAATATGGAGGCCTAAAGCAAAAATTCAATGAGAGGCTCTTTTTTATATAAAAGGAAAAATTCATATATAATTTTATTTAAATTCTGTATTTCTAGTTTTTCATATGCAAAGTTATTAATTATTTTATCTAATCCTTTTAATTTCTCTTGAGATATACACGTTGTGGGACTGTATTAAAGTTTAACCTTTTTTGAGTTATGAATTAATAATCGAATCCTTTCTCAATTTATGGTCTAGAGAGTGATTCCCAAAAAGAAATTTTTTCTCAATTTATGATCAACAATTTAATCCTACTTTTTTACTATGAAAATTTATACTTTCTCATTTAAAGCACTAAATATTTTCTAAAAATAAATTAATATATAACCTATTAGAAAAATTTGGGGCCCAAAAAATTATGAGGCCCAAAGCAGCTGCTTTAGCAGCCTTACTCTTGGGCCGACACTAGTTTCACATGCCATGTTAAACCCGTTCAACACCCAGACTGTTGGCCCTATTTGATGTTTTAACCCCAACTGCTCTACGACCCTCGATCTGATGATGTTGGCCGAGCTACCTGGATCAATCAACACACGCTTAACTTGAGATTATTGATAAGTACGAAAATTACCAGTGCATCATTATGAGGTTGTACGATGCCCTCTGCATCCTCGTCGCTGAACAAAATAGTTCCTTCTAGGATATAATCTCAAGTGTGTTTGTCCCTTATGATCGACACTTTAGTGCATTTTATCATCGGCCCTTTAGGGACATCGACCCCTCTAATGATCATGTTGATGACGTGTTGGGGTTCCTCTTATTCAGTCTGTTTGTTGGCGTCCCAATTTCTGAAGTAGTTTTTGGCTCGATCACTCAGAAATTCTCGCAGGTGTTCGTTATTAAATAACCGGAAACTTCTTCTCTCAGTTGTCGGTAGTCTTCGGTCCTGTGTCCATGAGTGCCATGATACTTACACATCAGGTTGGGATCTCTTTGGGTAGGATTGGATTGCAATGGTCGAGGCCACTTGGACTCCTTGATGCGTCCGATGGGTGATACGATGCTGGCTGCATCAACATTGAAGTTATACTCTGACAATCTCAGAGCTTCCCTTCCCCCGAGCGCCCTGTCGAAACCATTTTTGCTCATCAGGCCTTGCCTATTGGGCCCTCGATCGCTTCTCCTTTCATTCCTTGTAGAGTTACACCCAGACCCGTTTCCCCTTCGATCTGCATCGTATGGTTGGTACCGATCTTGATTCATGACCGACGACTCTCTTGGGCTTGCTATCGGTTATGATGGGATAAATAGATCCAAAAGGGGTTCCGAGTTGGTCGTCCACGACTCTGAGTTTTGACTGATACCTGTTGTGGACGTCGCCCCAAGTTACTGCCGGATACTCTACTATGTTTTGTTTCAGCTTCTGCGAAGCCAAGGAGCTTTGGGGGTTAAGTCCCTGGGTGAATGCCTGAACGACCCAATCGTCCGCAACCGGAGGTAAAACCATCTGTTCCATATGAAATCTTGATACGGACTCCCTTAGTATCTCGTTGTCCCTTTGCTTAACCTTGAAAATATCTGATTTTCTGGTCTCGATCTTAATGACCCAGTATGAGCCTTTACAAAAGCCTCTGCAAGCATAGCGAATGAATAATTAAATTTGGGGGCAAGTTCTAGTACTACATCATTGCTTTTTTGACAGAGATTCCCTGAACTTCTGTAATAACGCAAACTCGATTTCGTCATCTTCTAAGTCGCTACCTTTGATGGCGCACGTGTAGGAGGTCACATGCTCATTTGGATCCGTGGTTCCGTTATATTTTGTAATATCAGGCATACGAAACCTCTTCGGTATTGGCTTCGGCTCCTCGCTTGGAGGAAAAGGCTTTTGGACTAATTTCTTGGAGTCTGGGCCTTTCAGTATTTGAGGCGCTCCTGAGATTCGATCGACCTGAGAATTATACGTCTCTACCTTCTTGTCGTTTGCCTCAATTTTCTTTTCACCTGATTCCACTGTTTCGTTAATGCTTCAAACATCTTCATTACTTCGGGGCTGACACAGGTCTAAGTTTCAGCCGGCCTTTCGGTGATCTCCTCATTTCTCTAGGCGTTTTCCTAGGGTGGTTCGGGCTCAACCCTGTTGGGGGCACGACTTTGATTTTACAGCTGCGTTATCGCCGCATGTTGGGACTATAACATTTCGAAGATCACTCGTAGACTAACCCCATCTCCTTCACCTTCGGGCGCTCCTTGAGCCGTTAGTCGGGCTCCTCCGTGAACGCTGTTCTCGGGGTCGGTAGGCAAGTTGGCGTCGATGGCTACATGCGAGTTAGCTTCGATTGTGTCTGCAACTAGGACTCCGTTGGGATCAACAGAGGGTACCTCATTGCTAGGCACCATATTGTTATTTTATCCATGATGGCCAAACTCAGCATCAATGTTCAAGTGAGGAGATTGAGAGTTTGATATTTTTAAGCTGTCCTGAAATTATAACCTTAGGGAAGAAGCGTAAAATTGAGTGTGTTATAGAAATTTGTATCAAACCACCACTATTATCCTTAGCCCCATGGTGGGCGCCAAACTGTTTATCCTTGAAACATATAACAATTAAATTTATACGCGTTTTAAGGATATGTGGATCGATTCAATACAAGTAATTAAGGATAAAAACAATAACCAAACCAGTTGTGACGTTGATCTAGGGCTCAGATTTAAGTTTAACGATAGTTCTGCACTCGGTCGGATTCTCGGTTCGAAGCCAGATATGTAAGAAGAACTATGATTAAAATAAGAATTTTTCAATAGCTAGAAAGTAGAGAAATAAGTTTGTATTGCCTTGATATGCGTGTTATAATGTCTATATTGAATTAGAAACTTTCCCTTTATATAGTATGAGAGTTTTACCCTTAGTACAATTATGTAAAAATCCTCCTTGTATATTAATTGCTGATACGCTACCGACGTCGGGCGACATCCGCACCGTGATATCCGGTTGGGTGCGGATATCACGACCTTCTATTAGGCATGTGCAACCGTTTGTAGTGCTTTCCGAGGTCATGTGGGTCATACCGGGTTTGTGGGGTTGTCTTGTTGGGCTCGATGACGAGCACACCGCTCGGGCCTTAGTACGAGAAGTTCCCCGTTTCGACACCAATCTCATGTAGTCATGTCTTTGCTTCGTTTGTCCCACCGGGAAATTGAAGTGCTCATTAGCTCCGGTTTTACCCGTGTACAGAGTATTTATGTGAAGAAATAGTAAAGATTAATATGGTCAATTTCATTGCTAATTAATATTAAAATGTGAATTTCTTAATCTGCGTAAAAACAGTAAAAAAAATTACTTATTGTGGACCGAGGGGAGCGGTTCTCTGCAACCTAAAAATCCAAAAAGTGAGGTCGGCACCAACAAAAATGGGTCATATTTTTTGTCAATTAACAATTCAATTAAATAGAAACGGACACCCAAACACCTCATCAACTTCCAAAAAAAAAAAGAGTTTATTTTGTGCCCACAAACCACGACACATGGTTTAACTTCCCCGAAAATCCCTCAAATACTCCTTGAATTTCCCCATCATTTTTTATAACTAAAAACCAAAAAGCAAAACTTTTCAAGAAATATTTTAAAAAGTAGCCCCTATATATGTGATGTGAAATTGTGAATATACATTCATGTTATGTGTCTGTGTTAGGACAAGAGGACTAATTACCAGTTCAACAAGAGGAAGAAGAGTAGTAGTTTTTTTCTTGAAGTTTGTGAGGTTGGTAAGCTAGTTATTTTCAAACCGATATTATAAGTAGCAGTTGAGATAAAAAAAAAAAAGGAGTCTTACAAATAAAGCTTCTGTCATTTCTCACCTATATATACACTAGGCAAGAGTTGTTTACTTTATTCATACAGTGGAAAGTTGACTTTAATCGGTTCTGTTCTCTGTTTGTTTTTGTTGTCAAATGTATCAGGTTGTAAAACTGTGGTTTTAGAAATTGAAGAACTCCAAACACTTCTTTATCAAATTTTCTTCCTCCATCTTCTCTTTCTTCAAGTGCTGCAACAATCATGGATTATACCAAAATGGTAAGTCTTGTTTCAGTTTCAACCCTGTTTTCGTTTTTTTTTTCTGGCAACTGTTTTATTGAATTCTTGGAGCTCTGCTTTTTAAAATTTCCCAGCTAAGAAATAATCTTGTTCAGTTTTCTGTATGTACATGTGCTTAAGTTTTGGATATGAATTTGCAGGAGAATATGAGTGCTGAGAAACAGAGGATATATGGAGAATTTGAAGTGAAAGGGTCTAAGGAAATTTGTGTTTCTGATCATATAAATGGATTGCAGTACGCAAGCACAAAATCAGATAGCTTTGTTGTGGACATGGAACGTTTTTCTCATATCATAGAGAAAGATATAAATGTCAATTCAAGAATTACTGTATGTTCCCTTTCTTCTTCTTTTTCCTCTGAGTTTTTGTTCATCCTCTGCACACATACTCTATTTCTCCTGAAACTTATCAATCAACTTGACAATTGATTCAATTTTATGCTAATCCTAACCGCTTTGTTGAACTAGTGAGAACAGAACTCATTATTGGTCAATTTTTGTTTACTTGGACTAAGTTTTAAATTTTACTTGAATTTAATTTATTTTTCTGTTTAAAAAAAGGAGGATGATGATGAAGAAGATGATAAATTTGACTTTGGACAATACTAAAAAAGTTATATAATATATTGCAAAAGCCGGGAAAACATGTTTTTTTTTTTTAATGTTTCTAATTGGAAAAGTTGCAGAGAAACCTTTCAAGGAAAGGATCATTTCGAAGCGGCGAGAGGAAAACATATTCAAATGCTGCCAATGAGAAAGACACTAATTTCACGGCAAGTTCCCCTAGAGGTATATTATCATTTATTTGAATAATAATAAGTAATAAATAAAAACAAAGAGTTGTATCTTTCTTTCTAGGCCTAGGATCACAGTAAGAAGCTGTGTGATTGGGTGCTCTCAATATGTACACATTATTTGTTATTAATGGTAATTGACGGTGTTACCGAAAACAGAAAAAAACAAAGAGGTGTTAGAAACAAAGCAATCAACAAATTTGTAGTATCTGTCTACATGCGTTTCTGTCGTTCTAAGGTATTTAATGGTCAGGAGTGAAAGGAAAAGACTATGACCCGTTCGATATTTTCTCAAAAATAGAACTTCTAACTTGGTGCCAATCTTTTTGAAAAAAATTATAGAAAATAATGTCAATCTTTTTTAAGTAGAGGGAGTAAAAGAAACCGGATTCTTCTCTATACTAGTTTTGGTCGTTTTATACACGTCAATATTTTACTATTTCTATCTCAATGGCAGTATTTGACTGTGCATAAAATTAAATTTTTTTTTTTGAAATTTATTGTCTAAAGAAGTCATATACATATGGCTATGAATCTTTCTCATTAAAGAAAAAAATTAAAAATTAAAAATAAATTATTCTAAATAAAAAAGTATGACATTCTCTTTAGTACATACTAAAAATGAAAATAAAATGAAAATAGGAAGATGAAGTAGTATCTTTTTCTCAATCTTGTAAATATTTATTGTCCGAGCAAGAGTTTACCTTTCACACTCTACTTCCAAAGATTTAAAAATATCTATAGCATTTAAAACAAAATGTCGACTTGATCAGCCATATTTGGCTTCACGTGAAACATATCACGTACTGCTCAATGCAATCTCATTGTTTTAGCCATATCTGTATTCTTATATTTCGATTCCTCTAATGTTTGGAGTAATGATGTAACACTAATAACTTGGATATAGTTTACCATTATAGAGAAATTAAGCGACGACCATGCCTAAATACCACATAGCTGTAACATAGTAACAAACAACATATTCTCAATCAAAAAGATCAATGTGGGGAAATCGTCTCTGTTTTTTGTCTGTTCATATGGCAGTATTACAAGATACAGATTTTGTCTTTTCTAAGTATTTTAGTACATTAGCTAGCTGCCTAGGTTGTTTCCTCTGGTAATCATGATGTATAATCTAATGAGACAAATCAATCTGTGATCTATCCCTATTTTCCTTAAGCAAAGACGTGCTAATTGGCCATTAGTTCGTATTCAACGTATAATTGCCTATGCCCTCGAGTTTCAGAGCCTTCATTTTCTTCTATTTTAGGTGTTAGTGGGTTCGAATAAATACAATTCATTATGTACATAATATAAAGTTCAAGGGAAGAAGCAGTGGATATCTGTAAGTTTATATATTCTGGTGTGATCAGTACTGCAAGATTTAATTGCTGAGATTGCTAATAATTTATTTACCTAAAGCACTGGGTCCAATTAAATTTTATATGGTCCAAGCTGTATATACAATGAATGTATAAAATCCAAAAGATAGCATATAAGAATGAATGTGACGGACAATTAGCCTATCCTATGGTATCAACTTTTCTTATGAATATTAAGGTTAGAGCATTTGTTAATCTTGTAGATGAAATAATATAAAAGTACAGTCGTACAGAGTGTCATTCCTTTTTGTTTGTATTCATATAAACTAAAATGGTGGTTGTCCACATGCATGATAATAATTGAGTGATAAAGAATCAAGGCAACACATATTTTTGGGTATATTCTGAATGTCATTTTTAAAATGGAAAAATGCAGCTTCATTGCTAGGAGGAGGTATTAGCACGCCAGAAAAGACTATTGTGGGGACTACTGATCAACCTACCCCACAAACCCATAATCAGATCACTATAGTGGCCGGCCATGGCGGCGCCACCGCCACCGAAAGCAAAATTAGTGGTAGGAGATTCAGTTTCCGACGCACTTCTTCCACTTCTAATTGGACCATTGATCCCAGGAGAATTCTTCTCTTCTTTGCTACCTTGTGAGTTTTCTCTTAACCAACCAAAGACTGGTTTAACTTCTTTATATTTATCGTGTATGTATAATGTTTTAAACCGTTAGGCTAAAAACAAATACTATGTTTTTAGCTATGTTTAACTAGGCACGAAATTTAAGAATAAAAGAATATTTTTGAAATTTGTGATCTAAAAAAAATTATTCCATCTGGTTCACAATAAGTGACCAATTTGCATTGAGCACACCTATTAAAAAAATACAAAATTCTACACAAAATAGTTAGTGTGACTAAACTATCCTTAATTAAATGTTGCAGTATAGTTAATGTGAGGAGTAAAAGACTTTTTAAGGATACATATATAAGGATAATTTTGAAAAAATAAATTAAATTTTTTTTTGATTATATAAATAGACACTTATTTTGGACTAAAATAAAAAGGCAAATTGGTCACTTGTTGTGGATCGGAGGAAGTAACTTTTTATGACTATAAATCATCTCATTAAGTGTAAAGGAGAAATATTATAATTAAATTATTTTTATTTATGGGCAAAGGTCCAAATATGCCCTTGTACTATATGAAATTGAGCACATTTGCCCTTCGTTAATACTTTAGTTCAAATATGCCCTTACCGTCATATAGTTGGTCCATATATGCCCTTAGAGTTACACAGTTGGTCCATATATGCCCTTTTCGAAACGGAATTCACCCAAACTAATTAGCTCTTTCTTTAATTGTATTAAATTGTATTACAAACACTATTTCCTTTTTATTAGTACGTTTTTCTTACCTTTCTCTTTTCTTTCTTCTTTTTTTCTTTTCTTCTTTTTTTTTTTCTTTTTCTTTCTCCCTTATCCGTTTCCTCCATTATTGATGTCTTCTCCATTTTCGTCACCAATTTCACTTGACAAAACTCATGAATTCCAATTACTAAGAAAATTCTCCCATAAGGTAATCAAGTTCCAATTTCACTAGCCCTCTAAATAAACGAAATTAAATTGTTCCAAAAATTATGGTTTAAACTTTAAAATAATAAAAACATCTCAACCTTTAACAATACTCAAAAGACCAAAATATTTAAATTATTTCCAGAAAGATAATTTAATGATTAAAAATCCTAGAGTTCAAGTTGTAGTGTTATAAATTTGAGTTGTTAGTCTTTTTTCAGCTAGACATTTTCTATTTTTTTTATTAACTATGTAAATTAGGGGTGTACATGAAACGGGTTGGTTCGGTTTTTATCAAAACCAAATCAAACCAATTATATCGGTTTGGATTGTTCGGTTTTGTTGTATTTTTCGGGTTTTTTGTTACATAAATATTATTTCAATCTTACTTTGTTAAATTTTTTAGAACTAAATATATGTTTAGTAAATATTAAAAAATTGACAAACATGATCTATTAAAATATTCTTATGCGAAAATTTTTTTAGTAATTGGAATTCATGAGTTTTGTCAAGTGAAATTAGTGACGAAAATGGAGAAGACATCAGTAATGGAGGAAATCGGATAAGGTAGAAAGAAAAAGAAAAAAAAAGAGAAGTGAAGAAAAAAGAAGAAAGAAAAGAGATAGGTAAAGAAAAAAAGTATTAATAAAAAGAAAATAGTGTTTGTAATACACTTTAATACAATTAACGAAAGAGCTAATTAGTTTGGGTGGATTCCGTTTCGAAAAGGACATATACGGGCCAACTGTGTAAGTTTAAGGGCATATATGGACCAACTATATGACGGTAAAGGCATATTTAAGCTAAAGTATTAACGAAAAGCAAATGTGCTCAATTTCGAATAGTACAAGAACATATTTAGACCTTTCCGTTTATTTATAGAAAGGTAACATTTTCTTTTTTGTGTAGACTAAAAAAGAAATAGTGACACTTAAATCGGAAAATAGAATAAAAGAAATGGTCAGTTATGACTTTGAGGAAAGAATACAACTTCTGACATTTTCTACTTAAATTTTTATTTAATATGGTAGTGCCCTCTATTTGACAGGTCAAGTATGGGAACAATACTATTGATCTATTTTACATTATCCATAGCCAAGCTCAATGGAGAAGACAGTGCTCTTAATGGATGATAATAGACACGAAAGAAAAAAGGAAGCAGTGAAAAAGTGAATGTTAAGATCAATGCGCTAGTTCTAACTCAGATGACGGTATAATGTAGAAGCAGAAGAGACAAAATCAACATAATTTGATTATAGATTTTAACAGAGTTTAGTAGAAACATTCACAAGATGATGGAACAGAGAAAGAAGTATAAAGGGGGCAGTACTCAGAAGAGCTAAAACTACATATAGAACTTCCATTATAGCAGAGGTTCAGAAGACAGAAAGTATCACTTTCATCAGGCTGCCTTTTGTTGCAAGACAAGAATAGAAAGCATCGTGACAAAGATTTGCATTATTCTATAGTAATGAGTGGCATAGATCAGAAACACGAGTACCTTTTCTTTGTTAGGTTCTCTTTTTGTAACATTTGGCTGAGTTTAGTGGAGAACCACATGTTTACCTTTTGCTATCTTCCTCCCTTTTTTTGTTGAGTTTAAGTTTTTTTGCACGCTACTGTCAAAAATATTTATACAATCATGTCAATTATAAGATAATAGCAAGTAAATGTATACCATAAGTAATCTAATAATGTAAAAATCTTTATAATGTTATGAGTAATGTATAATTTAAAACATATTGTGGAACTCCGTGTATCCCACTCAAGTTGGGTTTTTTTTTGCGTTTGAAGCCAAATGATTCTTTGCTGTTGGCGTTGGGCAGGCAACAAGGCACAAAAAGTATGACTTTGATGTCCAGAACTGCAACTTCAAGCTCTAAATAGTACTGCTGAAACATTCTCTTTGTGGAGCATGATGGCATGGCACAGAATATTTGCATACCAATTTTTAGGATAAATATGCCAAATTTAAAGCAGTCATATTAGTAGCAATGCACGTTTACCAAACTAGCATATTAGTAATTGGCAAAATCAGAAATTTTATTAATAGATTAATCCATCATTAATTGACTTAAGGGTTCATTTAATATAATTCATAGTTACGAATAACTGCAAGGAACTTCTGCAGTTACACATTAAGATCTCTCAGCTAATATATGATGAAGGAAAACATACAGTTTTTCACATTGCATCAATGAGACCTCTATTCAAGTGCCCTTCATGACTAGCAAGAAGGAGCAATACATACTAGGTTGTGAAGGTTTCAGTAAGTTTCATGTTTCTAGCATATTTAACAAGTCATTCATTGAGGTAAATGAAGAGGGAGCAGGAGCTGCTGCTTCTGATGTGATTAGACCAAGGGGAAGGAGGGAAAATTTAAGAGACTGTTGCGGATCATCCATTTCTCTTCCTAATTAGAGAAGATGCAACACGCGTGGTACTCTTTGCCGGTACTGTGCTTAATCCTCTTTTAGAGTAAGTCGTATTCCACTACATGGGGGTTAAATACATGTTAAAATCAAGCCCTAGGTCTGCCATTGATGGAGCTACAAATTTGGAGAAGAAGGGAGCTTAGAGAGAAATGAGAGGAAGATTCTAGAGAGAGAATGAAACTGAATATTTTCTTCATTGCTCAAAAATATACTGTACATCGTCTACATATCTATTACGAATAACATCTCCACTAACTATCATTATGCGAGCTAAGCAACTAACTTTCTAACTAACTAATCTTCTAGAAGAGTACAAGATATATAACTAATTGTACAATTATTTATTTCTACACTCTCCTCAAGTTGAGAATGGAAAATATTTTTCATGCCCAACTTGGAAAGTAATGCTGAATGTTGTTGATGTCCTAAAGCTTTTGTCAAAATGTCTGTTGGTTGTTCTTGACCGGGTATGTATGCAGTTTCTATATATATACATAGGCTTAGCTGCTATTTTCAAGGCTGCTTTGTTATTGCAGTACAACTTCATAGGCATCCTCACAGTCACCTGCAACTCTTTCAATAGTCCTTTTAACCATATTAGTTCTACTACTGTATGTGCCATTCTTCTATATTCAGCTTTCGCTGAGCTCCTGGATATAGTGCTCTGCTTCTTTGCTTTCCAGGAGATAAGTGATGCTCCCAACTTGATATAAAATTCAGTAACTAACTTCCTAGACATGGGTCATGAAGCCCAGTCTAAATCACAGTAGGCCACAATTTTTTATGCATTAGCATTTGACATTAAGAGTCCAAGTCCAGGTTGGTCCAAGGAAGCATCATAATGTGACTTTTTGGGTGCATGCATGAACTAATTCAAGCACTGTACTGCGTATACAATTTCAGGTCTGGTTATTGTTAAAAATAATAACTTCCTAACTAGCCTCTGGAAGCTATTCCTATCCTCCAAAAGTTCATTAGAACCACCTGCTTTCACTAGTTCATCAAATTCTGTATTAGTGAGTTTTAAATTTTGTTCCATTGGAGTCTCCTTAGGCTTTGTGAGACCTACTTCACAAATCATCTCCAAAGCATACTTCCTTTGTGACATCAAAATTCCCTCACTTGATCTAGCAAACTCAATTTCTGTAAAATATCTTAGTTCTCCAAGGTCCTTTAGCTTAAAGTTCTGATATAAAGCATCTATGTCTGATTGTATCTTTTCCAAATCATTACCTGTAACAATCAAATCATCTACCTAGACAAGTATGAGCAAAAGTTTACCATTTGTAGTTTTGGTAAAAAATGAGTAATGTTTGCTCTGTTGAAAACTAGATGTTAGCAAAGCTTATGTTAATTATAAGTTCCATTGCTTAGAAGCCTGTTTTAGGCCATATAGGGATTTGAGGAGTCTACAAACCCTGTTCTCCCCAGGCTACCAAATCCCCGAGGCATTGTCATGTAAACTTTCTCAAAAAAATCACCATTCAGAAGAGCATTGTGAACATCTATTTGTGATAGAGGCCAATGTTTAAGGGCTGCAATAACTATCACAGTCCTTACAGTAGTCATCTTAGCTACAGGAGAAAAAATATCATGAAAGTCAATTCCCTCTTGCTGGGTGTATCCCTTTGTAACTAGCCCTGCTTTGAATCTCTCAACAGATCTATCAACATTATATTTGATTTAATACACCGACTTACATCCTACAGGTACTTTCCCTGGTGGCAGTGTAACCACTTCCCAAGTGTTGTTTTGTTCTAGGTCCTTTACTTCAAGCTTCGTTGCTTGAACACACCTGTCATCGTTGATTGCTTGAAAATAAGTAGAAGGCTCAGTATCTGAGAAAAAAGCAGCAAGAAAAGACTGAAAGTAGGAAGGAAGATGAGAATAAGACACAAATTATTGGATAGAAAAAGGTGATGAAGAAGTGGAAGGCAAAGGAGGGTAAACATAGTCAGTTAACCAAATAGAGGGTCTAGTTGTTCTGTTGGATTTTCGGGCTGCTAGGGATGTAAGGATGGTTGGTGTGATAGGGAAGGTTAGTTAGCAAAGGGAGATAGCGATGTACGTGCAGCAGGACCAGCTGAAGAAGGATAAGGTGAGGAAGTATGTGTAGCAGGGCTAGAGGAAGAGGAACGAGGTGATGAATCTGGAGAAGAAAAAGAGTCATCTGGTAAAGCAAGAGGATCTACACATGAAGATGGTGGAACAGTAGATTGAACATCAGAGGTAGGAAAGATATCAGAAGTAGGACATGAAGGAATCGAATCAGAACCATCAAGAAAATTGCTTTTAGGATGTTTAAAGGGGAAAACTTTTTCTTTGAAGACAACATCACTAATAACCAGAAACATTTTGACTTCAATATCATAGACTTTGTATCCCTTTTGTATAGGTGCATCACCCATAAACACAACAAGGATTGATTTAGAAGTGAACTTATCATGGAAGTCCGGTTTTGTGGCATAATTAAGACATCCCAAGCTTTTGATATGATCAAAAGATAGTGGCTTTCCATGAAATATCTCATAAGGATATTTTTCATTTAGGATTGTACTAGGTAGTCTGTTAATGATATATGTTATTGTAAGAATGCAGTCCCCCAAGAATCTTAAAGGAATGTTTGCTTGAAATCTTAAAGCTCTGGCTACATCTAGAAGGTGTCTATATTTGCTTTCCACAACTCTATTCTGTTGTGGAGTATGTACACAACTATTTTGATGAATGATGCCCTTAGTTTTGAAGAGATTAGAATATAGAGTGTTACAGAATTCAAAACCATTATCTGATCTGAAGGTTTTAACACTAGTGAAGAATTGATTTTCTACCAAGTGAAAGAAATCAGTCAACATAACATATAGATCACTTTTCAATCTTAAAAGGAAGGTCCAAGTCATTCTGGTACAATCATCAACCAGAGTCAGAAAGTATCTATAGCCATTATGAGTGCTTACTTTATATGGATCCTAAACACTCATATGTACAAGCTGAAATGAACTAGTAGACTTGGAATTGCTAATATAGGAAAGGGCAACCTTGTTTGTTTAGATAGTGGACAAACATGACAATAACAAGCAGAAGTTTGAATACTAGACAAATTTTTATTTATTGCAGGGATTTTATGTAAAACTGGAAGAGGAGCATGTCCCAATCTTTAATGCCATAGAATATTTGTACTTTGTTGAATGGAAGTGGTTATACATTTGGAAGAAAGAACAACAACATATGTTGAAAGATTGAGGATGTAGAGACCACCCTTGAGCTTACCAATCCCCTTCACCATGCCACTGAAGAGTTCATGAAAGACACATAAATCAGGGTAAAAATAAACTAAATTCTTCAGTTATTTTGTATATCTGGAAATCGATAGAAGGTTATATTTGAATTAGATCACATTGTGGAGTAAGTACATCAGAATTAGGTAAAGTGCAAGTTCCTATGTAAGTAATTTTAGTATTACTTCCATTAGGCAAGTGCACTATTGAAGATTTGAGTTCAGAGATTGGATTAGAAGATGACAGTAGATTCAAGCATGAAGTCACATGATTAGAAGCACCAAAGTTAATGATCCAACTACATTGGTTAGTGAGTAAATTACCTGCCATATTAGCTACATCTACTGGCTAGCTTTCTTTGCTCAACATTCTGAGAATTTGTTGATACTGCTCAGTGGTTAATGGTTGCAAAGTTGGAACTACAACTGGTATATTGTTTCCATGTGCAGCATTCTGAAACTCCTCTATGGTATGCGCATTGTGTGCCATATTTTCAGGATGCTCATGTGCTCTTCTCCTCCTATTATTATTGAACTTGAACCTTGGAGGATATCCCACCAGTTTGTAATATGATTCCCTTGAATGCCCCTTCATGTTACAATAGTCACACACAAGTCCATTGTTCTTCCTAGGTCTCATATTCGAAGCATGTGCGAAAAATAATACACTACTTTTTACATTCAGAGGTGTACTCCCCAAAATTCTAACTTGTGATGTGCCGCTACTCATCCTCTGGCTTTCCTTTTACATAATCATCGAATAAGCCTGGTCAAGAGTAGGTATTGGATGCATCATTAAAATTTGTCTCCTTTGTGGTCCATAGGTATCATTTAGCCCTATTAGGAACTTCATGAGTTTCTGATGA